ACAAAAATTAGAATGCAATGTCAATCGGTATCTGTTGTCTACCTGATTACTCTTTCCTCTTCTCGGCCATTTCTAATTTTTTTTTCTCTTCCTAATTCCCCACACCATGTAAACTCCTTGTGTCTTAGTGACTTTACTGCCTTGCATGGAGTATTACCGATTATATACCGAGTGTAACAGCAAAATTGTCCATTTTACAAAATGTTTAATATCTAAAAAAAAAAAACACTAAACCAATTGTTTCTTTTTTCCAGTCGTTTAGTCATCATGACACCATTTGTCGTAAGAATCACTGAAAAACACTCTCACTTATTCAGATAGAAAGAGAACAGGTTAAAATTGTTTTGTGTCAGTCCCGCTGTCTTCCCAAATGAGCAATGGTGAGAGGAAAAACATCATTCGAGCCTTTAGTAATGGTACCAGCATTCATACTCTGGCTTCCATCTTCAAAGTCTATTCAAGAACCATCAAGAGGAAGGTGAATAAGTTTTAAAAAGATGGAACAGTAGAGAGAAAAAATGGATCAGGATGTCACGACGGGAAGAGAGGTCATCATTTTTACTTGGAGCTAAATAGAACAATTATAAAAAATTCAACTCAATTCATAAGACGTTTGGCACGTGAGAGAGGAGTTTCAACTATAACAGTCCAAAGAGCAGTAAAAAAGACTTAAAATGAAACCGTACGTGAACCTGTGAGGCATCTTGTTACTCCAGGACAGAAAGTTAGAAGGTTAGAGAGGGCGAAGATCATCTTGAATCAGTTTGGAAATGATCCTGGAATGATATATATATATATATATATATATATATATATATATATATATATATAATTTCAATACTTCATGAGCTTCCGATCCTTAGCTATGATTAATGATAGACATGTCATTTTCGTTTATGATCGATTTATCATGATTCGTCTGTTACACTTGGAGATAATTATAGCTTCTTATTGCTCAAAGTAGAGCTCGAGGATGTTATAAAAATCTCTGAGAATTCCAATAATATATCTTTAATCATTTCTAGGATATAACGTTTCAAATCTTAATCTAAAAAATAGACAATTTGCTTTTACAATATATATATATATATATATATATATATATATATATATATATATATATATATATGAGTGTGTGTGTGTGTCTACACACACACACACACAAAACAAATATATATATATATATATATATATATATATATATTATTCCTATATACTTAACACATTGTTTAGATGGAGTAGTTTGTACTTAAGTAAACTGCTCATCTATTGTATCTTGTGAATGCATTTAATATTGTAGCATTTTTGGTTGCTTCAACCGTAACACTCGTTTACTACTATGTGCCACTTACAGCTTCGGTTTAACTGACAAAGTCGAGAAATTTGATATTATTCCCCTATCTTTCCCGTATAAATAAAGCTTACCTAGTAGTTCAAACAGTTCTTTGTGTTGTACCTTATCCAACGCGTTTGTGCAATGTTTAAAACATAAGTGTAAATCGTTCTGTATTAGTATTGCCCTTGGATATCATTCTGATCATATATATAGCATGTCTTGTTTCAGTGTCCTTCACAAATCCACACTGTTCTTGTCCTATTCCTGGTGTAATTCTGTTTCAGGCTCTAACTAACCTACGCTTTATTTACCCCAGATTATTTTGCTGTAAAAAAAAACAAAAACAATTCCGTTGACTTTGAAGTAATTCAACTCTACATCCTCTCAATGAAATTCATGGCGATGTTTCTAAGCGTAGCTTAGATCTGGCACAAAGCCAAAAGTATAGGACGCCCAGTGAGGATCGAAATCACTTATCAGTCGCCACTGATTTAGCGAGACAAGCTTGCTAACTATTACACCACGTCGAAGTGCCCCTTTCGAGGAAATCTATGAATATAAACATTAATTTTACATGTATGTATTTGTATTTGTTCTTAAGGCTTTTCACAAGATTTTCTCTTGAGCTGTTATTATTAAAGCTACTAAAAGAGAATTATCTATATGATACTAAAAGTCCGCGCTTGCGTGCTTGCTTTCTTGCGTGGTGCGTCCGTCCGGTGCATAATGATTTAACCTGATTTACGTGAACAAGATTAAAAAATATAAGTTGTTTATACAGAAAGTAATTTTGTTTTAACTTTCTTCAAACAGGCAATTTTTATTAATTAAAATGTTTTTAAGCTAAACAGGCACAGATAGAACCCACTTTGGTGTTTCGTTCAGTTGTTTGTAGAGTAATTATTTACATTTCAACTTTCTTTAAACAAACAATATTTTAAATTATTCTAAAAAATATTTTTGAATAGTTGCCGTTTTCTGGGGGAACTTATATAAAGCACGTCCTAAATCTAGTAGCAAATTTTATTCTGGGTGCGGGCCGAATACTGATCATATTCGGTCGGGTCGCCCATCGAAGAAGTCTGTTGTTTATTTAAGACCCGAAACTTCTAGTGACATAGAAGCAACAACACTGACGACGCACCTGGATTCGGCACTTAAAGGTGTAATTTTAATAATGGGCATATATAAAAAAATATTTTTAAGTAAATATGATTTTAAAATATTTTTTTAGCATATTAAAAAAAATATTTCTGAGTTAATCTGATTTAAAGTTCAAGTCTATCCCCAAAGTTCCATTCCTATTAAATGCTGTAAACAATCAGTAAAACATTAAACATGAACTTGTAATCCAGACAAATGACGACACGAACGAATTGAAATAATTAACTGAATCATAATAAAATTAACTTTTATTTCAATGGAATGCTGAAATCAACTCCAATGTTTTATAACCTGAACTGCCAGTGACCCAACGGGGGACGGGTCGTCTAGTAAACTTTAAATTAAGCTACAAGAACGCCTTAAAATCTTCCGTGTCTTTGATCTTTGAAATTGAGTTTCCAATTTCTCAATTACCGATTATTTATACAGAATAGCTTTCTAGTGAACAGAAAGTTTTAAGTGCGTTATCATGGTATCAGTGAGACTAGTTTTTGTTCAAGTGTCCAAGAACTTCCCTATTTTATCATTATTATAACCAAATGAGATCCCTTGTCCTTCTTAAGTCATTATCCTGCTTATGTTTTCGTTTAAATGATCGAAGTTTGCGAAATCGCCACCATCAACATTATTGCCAATATCTCTAATGCTATAACCTTTTTTTTGTAAATGCCATGTCCCTTTAGTACGTAGATCATGGCTCTCCACAGAATCCTTTTCTTTATTATCTTTGGATCATTCTCCATTCTTAGAAAATATAGTGGTGTAGTTTCCCGTTGTCTTCTTTATGGTTTGAAATTCAGAATTTTTTCCCTTAGAGTGGTTGCCACACAAGACTAAAAAAAATTCAGATCACCCTGCAATTTAATCTATAGATGTGGGGGTAGTGAGACAAGTTCTCAACTTTTCCAGGGATATTAATACGAAAGTGAACGCCGATTCCACTTTCCGCATGTTAACCTATCTGCACATCTTTACTTATTATAAATACGAATAAATAACATTCATACCTACAATGTTATGAATCCGACGCCTCGTATTGTTATCATCTTCATGACCATCGCATCTCTCTTCTCGTCACCGCCATTTTGATCATCATCATAGTCGTCATAAATCAGTAAATTCGTTCGCACTAACACTACCCTCATAATAACCGTTTTCACCAAAACGATCGCCATCATCATAACTGTTGGCATACTCATAAAAGCTTCATTGTTAGCATCAGTATCATCACCGTCATCATCGTCATCATCATCATTATCATATTCACGATCAATAAAATTATGACGACCAACATCACCACTTCCATCTTATATGTATAAGTTGCATTATAATCGCCAGTATTTGTGATGACATCGTCGTCAGCACTACCACGACAACCAACATCACCAACTCCATCATATCTGATATATTTGTCTCATGAATCATCATCGTCATCATCATATTCGCCATCATTAAAATTATGACGACCAACATCATCAGCTCCATCATATCTGATATGCTTGTCTCGAATCATCATCATCATCATCACAGATTTACACGTGTTTCCTTGGTGCTCTGACATCCGTTCTCTCAGCCAGATGAATGCATAAACAAAATATCCTTATTAAAATGGATTTTCACCTTGTGTTCACAAGAAAAATCATCCCCCCACCCTACAAATTGCACCTTTAAACACCGTCTTTTTTCTTCAAACACGGTGTTTAAACCCCTATCCAATAGCACATGGTCATTATTCTATGTAAATGAAAAAAAAAATGATCGTTCTTATTTCCGGCTTTCGGCAGCACACCTTCCTATTTGTTTTATTTTATTTCATTCTTGCGTTCGTTTTTTTTTTTTTTTTTTTTATATTTTGTGGAAGGTTATGGGGTGGAGAAACATTTTTCTTTTCCGTAACATACTTGAGATCTTGGCGAAAGATAAGCCAGCCATGACGTTTGGATCGCACGCTGATCATTTGCAAGTCCTTGTTGTGTTGTCCGCATGTCACCGAAATGGGGAAAAAGAGATCAAGCAGTCAGCTTTTTAATTTCACTCAATCATCCAACGATTAAATCATTCATTCATTCATTTATACAATCGGGCCGGCACACACGCACATGGACAGAAGGTACACACGCCTCTAAAGTCCACAATTCCATAGAGAAACTCTTTCTCTCTCCTCCTCCTTCTGCTCTTATCTTCCCTTCTTATACTCTCCTTCTTTTAACCTTGCTCTCCTTTCTTGCTTTCTCCTCTTCCTTGTTTTTCTCTCTTTCTCTCTCTCTCTTTTCTGCCACATTCTTTCTTTGGGTTTTTTTTCTTGATTTCCCTCTCTCTCTCTTTTACTTCTTCTTCTCGACTTTCTTAACTACCTCATATCTTTCTCATCTTCTTTGTCTACATTATGTGATTTTTTATTTTTATCTATCTATCTATCTTGCTATATCTCTCTTTTCGTCTGTCCATGCCTTTCTCTCTATCAATTTGTCACTCTTTTGTATCTATCTATATATCCCAGTATTTTCATGTTTTGTTCTATCTATCTATCTATCTATCTATCTATCTATCTATCTATCTATCTATCTTCGTCTTTTCATCTATCTATCTATCTATCTATCTATCTATCTATCTATCTATCTATCTATCTATCTATCTGTTTTCGTCTTTTCACCTATCTATCTATCTATCTATCTTCGTCTTTTCATGCCTATCGCTCTATCAATTTCTCCTTATTTTGCATCTGCCTATATATCTCAGTCTTTTCATATCTATCTATCTATCTATCTATCTATCTATCTATCTATCTATCTATCTTTCTTTCTTTCTTTCTTTCTATCTATCTATCTTCGTTTTTTCATCTATCTATCTATCTATCTATCTATCTTCGTCTTTTCATGCCTATCGCTCTATCAATTTCTTCTTTTTTGCATATGCCTATATATCTCAGTCTTTTCATATCTATCTATCTATCTATCTATCTATCTATCTATCTATCTGTCTGTCTGTCTTCGTCTTTTCATGCCTATCGCTCTATCAATTCCTTCTTTTTTGCATATGCCTATATATCTCAGTCTTTTCATATCTATCTATCTATATATCTCTTTCTTTTTTTCTTTCTCTTCCTTTTACACCTGTGTGTGTTTGCACGCGTGTGAGTGTATTAGTGAATAACTGAGTTGACACTACAGCATAAAGTCAGTGCATAATATCTCATGAGAACACTAACAAATGTGAACTTGACATTTGTTATTGTCACCTTCATTCATTTTCCATTTCCAATTCACTTATTTTTTTACGTTTAATCTAAAAGTAACTTTTTCCTTCACTCACCGCTATAGTTCTTTTCTCTCTTTTTTTTTTTTTTTTGTTATAATCTTCTTTGTGGTTTAATTTCCTAAAATCCCGTCCCCGAACGCTGATTACTTTTTTTGCTGTAATTTCTTCAGAAAGAAATCTTTATTCATTTTCTCATTGCCTACCCGTTTATCCGTTCATGCAGTATTTTATTAATATTTATTCGTTTTCATTTCATTATTATTTTCTACTTTATTTACAGTTCTCTTAAGGTGCACAATTTTTGTTGCGCTTCTCTAAGACGTCTTTCCTAATCTCCTTCCGGTGGTGTTGCCTGCCGTTTTACAAAATGTCTACTCATCACGTGCAAGACTTGAAAACGGGCTTTCAGGTAATTTCCTTTATTTTTATGCCAATTTCTAAACGTTTTTGATGGTTGTGGTGTAAAAAATAAAAAATGGAATTTTCGTTTGTCATTGTTGATCAGTTTCTTTTTAACTTTTAAACCATTTCTCATTCTCCAGGCTTGCTTTAGAAAATGGCTGTCAATGCAACAAAAAGTTTTAAAACGCAACTGCAACAGTAAAATAAAAAAATATAACTACCACAAAGAACTAAATTATATTAGTTTATTATTTATTTTAAAATATTATGAATATATTTATTTTTATAAATAAAAAAAATGTTAAGGATACCGCCGATTATATCTCTCTCCGATCTCTTTAATTTTTACTATTTGTAAACACTACATTGCATTGATTGTACTTAGGAAATATAGAGGATTGCATTGTCGTTGCCTTTTTGCAGCTTTAAATTAACAATTGTCCCACCCTAGATTGCCCACGAAGAAAGGCTACAGATCTCAGTTTACCCCGTTATTTAACCCATACCTGGGAGTATACCTTCCCCTAGGAATTTGATTTCCATCCGTCGATTACCTTTTCTCTTTGTTAAGAGTTAGTCCACTGTGGCTCGCCTTATATCTTAATATATATTCTATAATATAAATCACTGCTTATATAAACCTATTAATGAGATATTCCGTTGAGGTAATAAGTGGCATGACTTGATGCTAATACATGAACATACCTCTAATTTAATAACGATGGATTCTCATATTATTAAGTAGGAAGAACAGGATGTTAATACATTTTTTTATAATTTATTTTGTGTTGAATTCATTCTTTCATGCGACAATAGAGTTAACTGTATAAAAAATCATTGATTATTTGTGCAAAAAATATAACCAATTCAATTGCAAAATTGCGGAAATCTTACTATTATTTTTCAAAATTAGTATAAAAAGTCATGAGTATAAAAACTGTTGCTTTCATTTTGTGATCATGGGTACTAAACTTCTCCATGGCTGCTTATTTTATATTTTTATTTTATTTTATTTTATTTTTTGAGACATCATCCCCTATTCGGAAAGAAAAACCCGATCTAAATTAAAAGAAACAACTTTTCCATGGCACCATCATTCTTTCTGTTTAGGATTAGGTTTCTTGTTCTCTCTAAAGACTTCTTTCTCTTTCACTTCCGGTGGCGCCTTGCGTCTTAGTGGTATTGTCACCTTGCTTGGTGTTAGTGGCTCTTACTCTATAACTTTCCACTTCGAGTGGCTCTTGGGGCCTTGTACAGGTTCAACATCATTGTAAAATAATCAACAAATAAAACTTTACTTAGGCACATGCTCCTATTACTAAAAAGTATCACTTCCATTTGTAATGTTTTTATGGGGATGCAAATAAACATCGAAACACAATCAATTTACTCATGAATCTTTCTAACCCCCTTCCCTGCTAATTATTTTGGGAAAATCGTTACATTTTCAAACGATTGCTTTTATTCGTTTTGAATATAATTACTAAGAAACTGAGTCACCTTGAAGTACCCGAACGATGGCTAACACCTCTACCGGATGTATGAGTTGAAAATTGGACATGTTTCAAGCTCAGAAGGGCATAAAAAGAATCAAAATCAACTAAGAAATTGAAGCACTTTGAAGTAATCGAGCGGTGGCTAACACCTCTACCAGACGTATGAGTTGACAACTGGACTCACTTCAAGCTCAGAATGGCATAAAAAGAATCAAGATCAACTAAGAAAGTGAGGCACTTTGAAGTAACCGAGCGGTGGCTAACACCTCTACCAGACGAATGAGTTGACAACTGGACTCACTTCAAGCTCAGAATGGCATAAAAAGAATCAAAATCGACGTATAAACAAGTCTCTAGCTGGTATTTGAACGTTAAGTTTTGGACGTGTTGACTTGTTCATGTCTGAAAAGGGACACTTTCGGTAAAAAGTATATAGACGTCTTGACCGAGGAAGTATCAAATTAGATATTAATTACAGGAAACTATTTTTCAAACACATTTTACTTTTCTACATTATTACACATTATTTTTAATTGCATATGATTATTACTTTCCAGAGAGAAAATTAAATTATCAAATTTATTAATTTGATAAATTAATTTATATGAATAAAAATATTTATAAATTTACGTTTTGCTATTTAAAAAAAAATATCTCATAGTTTTATTCGATATGTATGTGGGAACACCGAGTTAAAAATTCTTCAGTTAAATTTCATATATTTTCTATCGGTGGAAATTATTAATTTGAAACTATTTTTAGTTATTGTAAATATGTTAATTTGTTATGATATTTTTAGAAATGAAAACGCATTCAGATAAGTTTTTTTTCCTTTAATTTCTTTCTAATTCATAAATAAATGTTTGAATAATTTTAAATTATTTGTTTCAGTTATTTTATTGCCAAATGACATGATTTAGTTTAAAAAGAAAATAGTTATGTTCACTTTAAAATCTGTGTAAAATGAACAAAAACATCCAGTTTTGAAACTGTTCATTTATTTTATCACATTGTATAATCTATTGGTAATTTAAAAGAAACTAATACATCCTTTTAAAAATACTTAATTTTTTTGCTGTATCGACATTTTTAAAATGCTATATTCCTTCAGAGTGTAGGCGAACATGTCTCTCCACAGTTTCCTTTCACTTTATTATACATAAATTAACATGCCTTCATTGAAAAGATAATCGAGTAGTTTCCCATGGCCTTCTATTAAAAATAAAGTCCATTAATTCGTTAGAAATTGCTTTGTTTATGTTTTGGATACGTAACTGAGCAGATATAGAATTTCATGAAAAATATCTTACTTAGGTGTAATGCATTCCTTAAAGGAATTTTTATATATATATATATATATATATATATATATATATATATATATATATATATTTGATGTGCGTGGAATATCCAACAAAGTATGTAAAATAGAATACACGAAAACCGGTTGAATTTGGATTTTTTTATTTACATGTTAACGATTTGCTACTTCAGGTAAAGTAGCAAAACATTTAGACTTATATTTTTGACCATTCATCTGTTTTTACATATTCAATTGTTACACACACAGACACACACATACACACACATATATATATTTGTATATATATATATATATATATATATATATATATATATGTATATATATATATATGTGTATGTGTGTGTGTATGTCTAAGTGTGTAAACACACACATATTTTCAATTCATAAATATATTTATAAACTATACATATATATATATATATATATATATATATATATATATATATATAAAGTGAACATTGAAGTCAACACTCAGAGGCGACAGGCTGTTTCATGCTGGTGATGACTTCAATCTTCACTTTTACATACGCTCTATCTCTGATATTGAGCAATTTAGCGCATATAGCACACCTTAAAATTATATTTCTTCATATATATATATATATATATATATATATATATATATATATATATATATATATATACACGCCCACACACACACACACAGACCTGGGGCGCACACACACACACATACATATATATCTATCTATCTATCTATCTATCTATCTATATATATATATATATATATATATATATATATATATATATATTACGTACATATATATGTGTGTGTGGTGTAAATTGTCGTCATTTTGTCATTTTATATAATACATTTCACAGAATAGTAGGGTCGGTTGGGCATCGCCTGTGGGGAAAAGAGCACCATGACGCAAATCACTTCGCCAGAAATTTGGAAACGGCCTACTGTACTGCTTTTAGAGTGTTTAGTTATCAATTTTAGGACAGTACAGAAGATTTCTAAAGAGTTGGATGAGTCTAATGATGATTACCAAGAGGTTTAGAGTGATTACTAGTGATGGAGACGTTATGCCTCCATTCATCTTCCTACAGACCCTCAACATAGAGGCCCACATCAAGTGCCTTGAGGTGGTAGTGTTGCCCTGGGTCAAGAGCGTAGCTGCTGGAAGACCCTATGTTTGGCAGCAGGACTCTGCATTATGCCACACAAGCAGGCGAATCCCGTCATGGCTGGCAGACAATTTATGCGACCACACCCATTATATCTGGTCATCTAACTCTCCAGACTGCATGTATGTATGTATGTATGTATGTATGTATGTATGTGTGTGTGTGCGTGTGTGCATGTTTCATTAAAAACGACAGACAAGGTACTACAATTAGGCATTTTATTTAATTTTTTTTGTGTTAAGATATAATTATTTATGAGTCCGGTTACACAACTACATGCTTATCTAGACGCTTTACGTTACACCTATCTGATCTTAGCTCCATTGGAACCCATTTAAACACACACACAAACTTACCAGACTCTATTAGAAACATACTAGTAGAAAACACAAATATAATAACTTCATCTACCTGTAAAAGAAGATTAAAAATAACAGAAGCTTTAATAATAAAAAAGGAAAAGCCAACTTTTAACAATATTAACTACGAACAAGGCCACAATGTGCTA